TATATATAATATATAATTTTGTTAGACTTGGCTAAATGGCCATTATAGAATTTGTACCAGTTTGCTGATCTGCCATTAATGTATGAAAGCAGAGTTTCTAAGACAGTACAGAGCACTGACACCTCAGAGACTGAGCCCCCAAGTCTTTTTTTTTTTTCACCATTTAATTTAATTTCTTTTCAGTGTAACAGAATTCATTGTTTATGCACCACACCCAGTGCTCCATGCAATATGTGCCCTCCATAATACTCCATAGTGTATATGGACCACATCTTCCTTATCCATTCATCCGTTGAAGGACATCTTGGTTCTTTCCACAGTTCGGTGACTGTGGCCATTGCTGCTATAAACATTGGGGTACAGATGGCCCTTCTTTTCACTACATCTGTATCTTTGGGGTAAATACCCAGTAGTGCAATTGCAGGGTCATAGGGAAGCTCTATTTCTAATTTCTTAAGGAATCTCCACACTGTTCTCCAAAGTGGCTGCACCAACTTGCATTCCCACCAACATTGTAAGAGAGTTCCCCTTTCTCCACATCCTCTCCAACACACGTTTTTTCCTGCCTTGCTAATTTTGGCGATTCTAACTGGTGTAAGGTGGTATCTCAATGTGGTTTTAATTTGAATCTCCCTGATGTGAGCCCCCAAGTCTTAGGTTTGCCAGAATAGTGAGAGGGAGAGGTAGACTCCCTGCCAAGCATGGAGCCTGATGCTGGACTCAGTCCCCAGACACCAGGATCATGATCTGAGCTAAAGAAAGTGACTTAATCAACTGAGCCACCCAGGAGCCCTGAGCATAACTTTTATTTTTTTAAATTACAGTTTAAGTTTTTAATTTTTAAAATTTCTTTTCAGTGTAACAGAATTCATTGTTTATGCACCACACCCAGTGCTCCATGCAATATGTGCCCTCCATAATATCCACCACCAGGCTCTCCCAACCTCCCAACCCCTGCCCCTTAAAACCCTCAGGTTGTTTTTCAGAGTCCATAGTCTCTCATGGTTTATCTCCCCCTCCAATTCCCCTCAACTTCCTTCTCCTCTCCATCTCCCATGTCCTCTGTGTTATTTGTTATGCTCCACAAATAAGTGAAGCCATATGATAATTGACTCTCTCTGCTTGACTTATTTCACTCAGCATAATCTCTTCCAGTCCCATCCCTGTTGCTACAAAACTTGGGTATTCATCCTTTCTGATGGAGGCATAATACTCCATAGTGTATATGGACTACATCTTCCTTATCCATTCGTCCACTAAAGGACATCTTAGGTTCTTTCCACAGTTCGGTGACTGTGGCCATTGCTGCTATAAACATTGGGGTACAGATGGTCCTTCTTTTCACTACATCTGTATCTTTGGGGTAATACCCAGTAGTGCAATTGCAGGGTCATAGGGAAGCTCTATTTTTAATTTCTTAAGGAATCTCCACACTGTTCTCCAAATTGGCTGCACCAACTTGCATTCCCACCAACAGTGTAAGAGGGTTCCCCTTTCTCCACATCCTCTCCAATACACGTTGTTTCCTGCCTTGCTAATTTTGGCGATTCTAACTGGTGTAAGGTGGTATCTCAATGTAGTTTTAATTTGAATCTCCCTGATGTGAGCCCCCAAGTCTTATGGTTGCCAGAACAGCCCAGCTTACATGGTGCTTATGTGTGTGCATGCACATGTGTATGTGAATCATTTGAAGAAGGTTGTTTTGGCTAAGTGGCTAAGGAAAGCTTGAGAACAACGATGTCAAGAGTCATCACTGTGTCTTCTCTTAGCCCTTCAGTTTGAAAGAGAAACAGAGAAAATGAGATTGTTCCATACCCAGTACGAAAATCCTTTGGCAGTTCTCTCCTTTGTGGAGAGAATGGTTCAGGTGGTAGCTGAAAAGATGAAATGGGTAGAAATATTTCCAGGAAGAAGAATTAGATGCCAAGGTATAACGAGATGATATTTAGTCACATAACCCCCAGTGTTAGCAGGTGTTCTCCAGAAGGTCCGTTCATTTGAGCCAATTGTAAGGTCTGATCATGAGCCAAGACCTGTGCTAGAATACAGAAATGAGCATGGCTGGTCCCTGCCCTCAAGAAGCTCATCCAGAGAAGTCAAGTATGTAGGCAGACAGTTTCTATATGATGTCATAGAAACAACAGCAATGATGACCGCTAACTCTGAGAGCTTATTAAACATCAGACAGTGGGGCTCTGCAATGCTTGTCACCTCGCCTGATTCTTCCAAACAAAAATGCTATGAAAGTAATTACAGTGTTATCCCCATTTCACAAAAGAGGAAACAAAGATCTAGGGAAGTTGAGGGACAGTTCAATACCCATAGTAAGTGACAAAATAGGGTTTATTCTGTGGACTGTCTCACTTCAAAGTCTTAAGGGGGAAGGAAGGGTAATGTTAGAACTTAAAGCTGCATTAAATGGTTTTATCCCTCCTTCTCTTAGTGTAGCACCACATTACTTTTCAGGAGGAAGGCCCAGGGGCTCAAGGAAGACCCTTAGAGGGAGATGTGCCCTGAGCTGAGGCTCAAAGAATTAGTGGAAACAAGGAAAGTATTCCAGGCAGAACAGCTCTTGGGCTGATCTCAAGGAGAGTCAGCCTCCAAGAGTCAGGAAGTTTTTAGCCCAGGGGGACAGGTAAGTGGAGTGGGTAAGAGGGCAACCTCTGGAGTCAGACTTCCTGAGTTGAAATCCTGGCTCTCCTTAGTTGAGTAACTTCGGGGGCATCACTCACCTTCTCTGATTCTTCACCTGTAAGACAGAGCTATAAAATACTATGTCCTGTGTTATTGCAAGGATTTAATGAGTTAATATATCTGGGGTGCTTAGAATAGTGCCTGGCACGTGCCCTATATATTTGTTCCCACTATAGAATCTCCTGGCTCCAGGTACAACCTAGATAGAAGAAAGAGGAAAACAAAATTTTGAAGCTCATCTGCAGTGCTTATTATAGAGAATGATTACATGAGCTCACAAAATGTAATGTGGTGCTATAAAAGGAGAAGAAAGCAGAAAACCGTTTAATGGAGGAGGGACATGGGCTTTTAGGCCAGAATTGTCCCGTCAAGCATAGTCATACTTATTAGATTTCAGTTATCATCTGGTATTGTGAGTCAAAAATGGACTTTCTGATTTGTCTCTTTTTTAATGGCACCTTTATTTGACATTAAAGTGGAATGGTCTGTCTTAAATAAGGTGAAAAAGTAGAGAAGGATAAAATAAAAGGAACTGCATTCAGTGTAACTTTTGGTTTTCTTCTCTCCCTCTTTGGTGCAATAAAATGTTTTCAGAAAACCCTAAAGAAAATACCAGCTAAGCTCTGCAGCTTCCTCATTCACCCACATATCATTTATCTCTCATCTACCAAGTCAAATTACTTTTTCTGAGAATAGTTTTCTATAACAGAATCCTAGGGAAGTAAAAGAGGAAAATACTTCTCAGGGAACCAACTCATGTGATTTACATTTTCTTTTCACATTCTCTGGCCTTTATCCCCTTTTTATGTTATCTCAAACTCCCATTCCCAGCTTGTTCCCAAACCAGATCCCATGCCTGGACTGTCTTCTCTGGGTCAGTTTTCTCTCTTCCACCTGGCATTTAAACAACTCTTGGGAATCTATCTTCTTGAAGAAAAAACTTTAATAGCAATTTCCCTAACATAAATCCCAATGGCCCTCACTTACTGCTATTCAAAAATGTATACCTGTATTTGTACGAGCCTCTCACTAGATACTGGGGCTATAGAAATTAGTATGATTCAGCCTTTTGTCCTGAGGGAGTTCAGTTTTGTGTGGTATCCAGACATGCAAAGGGAGGTTGGTTCTGCCATCTCTGCCATACAATCATGTTCACTTCCTTTATGGTTTTTCTTTCCTGTTAGACCGTAAGCCTCTTAAGAACAAAGATTTTATGTTTTGTTTACTACTGTGTAACCAGTACCCTAGACAGAGCCCTCAACAAACATTTGCTGAATGAATGAGTGGATGAATGAATGAAAAGAAGTGAAAATACAGAATAATTGATAAATCAATATACTCACAAGATAAGAAGTAGCACAGAGGAAGGCATACTGCATTATTTGTGGGAAAGGAGTGGAGTTGGAGTAGTGAGGAGACCTGTTGGGGGAGGTGGCTTCTGAGCTGGGTTTTGAAGGCAGGGGCTTGCACATTGATAATCCTTGCACAATGTCCCCACTCTTAGGAGGTACCTCATAAAAGTTTGCTGAGTTAATAAAGTTCACAATTTATGAAGCAATTATACTTACAGTATGTCTAATATTATACCGTTAAACGCATTCCTGGGAAGGGAAGACATGGCCTCTTCATGCTGGATGTTGTGGTCCTGGAAGCTCTGTCACCTAAAACCTCTTAGTTCTCAGTAGGGTAGGGGTATCCGCAGGAAAGCCCAGTGTCTTGGTGTGTGTGTATGAGCTCTGTGAGAAACTTTAGAGGCTGGGTCATCCACTGGCTGATAAAGAAAGCAAATACAAGTATATGCTTTAGGAGAGGAACATGCAAGGAACATGGGAAAGGAACAGACAGAGGCCCTGAGCTACACCAGAGCTTATTACCTAATTTTCATATTCAGCACCCAAATCAGTTTCACATCTTAAAATTTCTGAAAAACCAGGTGGTTACGACATGGAAGGGGATGAGGTGAGAGATGAGAGGAGATAAAAACAAAATACATTTTTATTCGCATATATCTAATGACCTTATTGAGGAAAAATTTTATTTTATTTTAAGGTTTTTAAATTGCATTTAGCTCCAGCTCCTTCCTGGCATAATTATGTTAATGCTCAGGAGACTAAGAACCCAAACTACTGAGGTGTGTGAACCTCCTGCCCCTGGTGTGCTCTCTGGGCGCTCTCATGCTGTTCCAGACCTACCCTTTCTGTGACCTATTGAAGACACCTCTGTATGAGTAACACCACATTATGTCAAAGATTAGATTCATCACCTCCAATTAACCTTCGGCTTGTGTTTTCAATATGTGTGTGCAGCTTCATCATACACAACAAAGATACTTTCTTCAACAACGCCACAAGAAGTAGAATTGTACATCATATTTTACAAAGAATAAAGTATGAAGAAGGAAAAAACAAAATTGGTAAGTAGTTTATTAGTATAACAAGCTATATCTAATTTTGGGAATGACAGAATTTTTTCTTTGGCTTTATAAAGTTTATATCAATTCTAGAACTGTTCATCACTTATAAAATCTCTCTTCCCTTGGTGGATAGCTCACAAGGTGTAAAAGTCTCGATACCATCCTTAGATCTCTTTAAAATAGCATGTTACCTCATTTGCCTAAGATCATGGAGAAATTCTCTCAGTTCCAACAAATATTTATGGAATGTTCATTGTGTACCAGGCACTGGGCTGGATGTTGGGGAGATGGGCATGGTTCTCTCCCGGGGCATATATTCAAGAAGATAAAAGCTTACAATAAACAAATAAGTAAATACGGTGAATAACAAAGAAAAAACTGAAATGGTGGGTTCAAGTTGAAATGAAGTGGTCAGGGGAAGCTTCATTGAGAAGCCAGGGTTTGAACTGAGACCTGATGAAAAGAAAAGACTGATGTAGGAAGATGGTGGTGGCAGGGGGTTGGGAAGTTGTTCTACGCAAGTGCAGAGATGAGCTGTCACACATAAATAAATTCTCCAAATAATCACCTTCACCATTAAACAGCTTTTATAATGCACATATATGTATTTTTATTTAACTTGTTAAAATTCAGCATAATTAATATACAGTGTTATATTAGCTTCAGGTGTACAATATAGGAATTCAACAGTTCTGTACACAATGCTCATCCTGATAAGTATACCTTAATCCCCTTCACATATTTCACCCATCCACTAACTCTCACCTCTGGTAAAAATGAGTTTGTTCTCTTTAGTTAAGAGTTTATCTTTTGGTTTATTTCTTTTATTCATTGTTTGTTTCTTATATTCTACAGAGTAGTGAAATCATATGATATTTGTCTTTTTCTGATTGACTTATTTCATTCAGCATTCCATTTTCTAGATCCATCGATGTTGTTGCAAATGGCAAAATTTCATTCTTTTCTATGGCTGAGTAATAGTCTATTGTGTGTGGGGGATGTATGTATGTATACCACATCTTTACCCATTCATCTATTTATGGACACTAAATTTATATTTGGAGGATTTTTATGAGAAACTTTCCATATTACCAAATTTTCTCCATTTTTTTATTAACATATAATGTAGTATTTGCCCCAGGGGTACAGATCTATGAATCATCAGGCTTACACATTTCACAGCACTCACCATACATAGCACATACCTTCCCCAATGCCCATAACCCAACCACTCTATCCCTACCCTCTTCATCCCCCATCAACCTTCAGTTTTTTCATGAGATTAATGGTCTCTTATGGTTTGTCTCCCTCCAGATCCCATCTTGTTTCATTTTTTCCCTCCCTACCCCCCACGACTCCCCGCCATGCCTCTCAAATTCCTTATATCAGAGCGATCATATGATAATTTTCTTTCTCTGATTGACTTATTTCATCTAGCACAATACCCTCTAGTTCTATCCATATCATTGCAAATGGCAAGATTTCGTTTCCTCTAATGGCTGCATAGTATTCCATTGTGTATACCATTGTGTGTGTGTGTTTGTATGTATATATATATGTGTGTGTGTGTGTGTATATATATATATATATATATACATATATATATATATATTCTGATTTATATTTCCTGATGCCAAGTGATGTTGAGCAAGTTTTCATCTGTCTGTTGGCCATTTGGATGTATTCTTTGTCAAAATGTCTGTTCATGTCTTCTGCCCATTTCTTGATTGGATTATTTGTTCTTTGGTTGCTGAGTTTAATAAGTTCCTTATACATTTTGGATACTAGCCCTTTATCTGATATGTCATTTGTAAATATCTTCTCCCATTCTGTCAGTTGTCTTTTGGTTTTGTTGACTATTTCCTTTGCTGTATAAAAGATTTTGATCTTGATGAAGTCCCAATAGTTCATTTTTTACCCTTGCTTCCCTTTCCTTTGGCGATGCTTCTAGGAAGAAGTTGCTGTGGCTGAGGTCAAATAGGTTGCTGCCTGTGGTCTATTCAAGGATTTTGATGGATTCCTGTCTCACATTAAGGTCTTTCATCCATTTTGAGTCTATTTTTGGGTGTGGTGTAAGGAAATGGTCCAGTTTCATTCTTCTACATGTGGCCGTCCAATTTTCCCAACACCATTTGTTGAAGATTCCACCAGACATTCTTTCCTGCTATATTGAAGATTAGTTGATCAAAGAGTTAAGGGTCCATTTGTGGACTCTCTGTTCTGTTCCATTGATCTATGTGTCTGTTTTTGTGCTAGGACCATACTATTTTGATTATTATAGCTTTGTAATAGAGCTTGAAGTCTGGAATTGTGATGTCACTAACTTTGGCTTTCTTTTTTTAACATTCCTCTGGCTATTCATGGTCTTTTTTGGTCCCATATGAATTTTAGGGTGATTTGTTCCATTTCTTTGAATAAAGATGATGGTATTTTGATAGGGATTGTATTAAATGTGTAGATTGCTCTAGGTAACGTAGACATTTTCACATTTGTTCTTCCAATCCATGATCATGGAATGTTTTTCCATTTATTTGTGTCTTCCTCAATTTCTTTCATGAGTACTTTAAAGTTTTCTGAGTTCAGATTCTTTGCCTCTTTGTTTAGGTTTATTCCTCAGTATCTTATGGTTTGGGGTACAATTGTAAATGGGATCGACTCTTGAATTTCTCTTTCTTCTGTCTTGCTTTTGGTGTAGAGAAGTGCAACTGATTTCTGTGCATTGATTTTATATCCTGACATTTTACTGAATTCCTGTATGAGTTCTAGCAGTTTTGGAGTGGAGCCTTTGGGTTTTCCACATAAAGTTATCATATCATCTGCAAAGAGTGAGAGTTTGACTTCTTTTTTGCCTATTCAGATACCTTTAATTTCTTTTTGTTCTCTGATTGCTGAGGCTAGGACTTGTAGTATGATGTTGAATAGTAGTGGTGATAGTGGATATCCCTGCCATGTTCCTGACCTTAGGGGGAAAACTCTCCCGTTTTTCCCCATTGAGAATGATATTCGCTGTGGGTTTTTCATAGATGGCTTTGGTGATATTGGGGTATGTACCCTCTATCCCTACACTTTGCTGAGTTTTGATCAAGAAAGGATGCTGTACTTTGTCAAATGCTTTTTCAGCATCTATTGAGAGTATCATATGGTTCTTGTTTTTTCTTTTATTAATGTACTGTATCACATTCATTGACTTGTGGATGTTGAACCAACCTTGCAGCCCTGGAATAAATCCCACTTTATCGTGGTGAATAATCCTTTTAATGTACTGTTTGATCTTATTGACTAGTATTTTGGTGAGAATTTTTACACCTGTGTTCATCAAGGATATTGGTCTATAATTCTCTTTTTTGATGGGATCTTTGTCTGGTTTTGGGATCAAGGTAATGCTGGCCTCATAAAATGAGTTTGGCAGTTTTCCTTCCATTTCTTTTTTTTGCAACAGTTTCAGGAGAATAGGTATTAGTTCTTTAAATGCTTGGTAGAATCCCCCTGGGAAGCTGTCTGGCCATGGGCTCTTGTTTTTTGGGAGATTTTTGATGACTGTTTCAATCTCCTTACTGGTTATGGGTCTGTCGGGTTTTCTATTTCTTCCCGGTTCAGTTTTGGTAGTTTATACATCTCTAGGAATGCATCCATTTTTTCCACATTGTCAAATTTGCTGGTGTATAGTTGCTCATAATATGTTGTTTTAATTGTTTGTATTTCTTTGGTGTTGGTTGTGATCACTCCTCTTTCATTCACGATTTTATTAATTTGGGTCCTTTCTCTTCTCTTTTTGATAAGTCTGGCCAGTGGTTTATCAATCTTATTAATTCTTTCAAAGAAGCAGTTCCTAGTTTTGTTGATTTTTTCTACTGTTCTTTTGGTTTCTGTTTCATTGATTTCTGCTCTGATCTTTATGATTTCTCTTCTCCTGCTGGATTTAGGCTTTCTTTGCTGTTCTTTCTCCAGCTCCTTTAGGTGTAGGGTTAGGTTGTGTACGTGAGACATTTCTTGTTTTCTCGAAAAAGGTTTTTGCTGTATTGTATTGTATTGCTATGTACTTTCCTCTCAGGACTGCCTTTGCTATGTCCCACGGATTTTGAATAGTTGTGTTTTCATTTTCATTTGTTTCCATGAATTTTTTCAATTGTTCTTTAATTTCCTAGTTAACCCATTCATTCTTTAGTAGGATGCTCTTTAGCCTCTATGTATTTGAGTTCTTTCAACTTTCCTCTTGTGATTGAGTTCTAGCTTCAGAGCATTGTGGTCTGAAAATATGGAATGATTGCAATCTTTTGGTACTGATTGAGACCTGATTTGTGACCCAGGATGAGATCAGTTCTGGAGAATGCTCCATGTGCATTAGAGAAGAATCTGTATTCTGTTGTTTTGGGATGGAATGTTCTGAATATATCTGTGATGTTCATCTAGTCCAGTGTGTCATTTAAGGCCTTTATTTCCATGTGATCTTTTACTTAGATGATGTGTGCATTTCAGTAAGGGGGGGTGTTAAAGTCCTCTACTATTATTATATTATTGTCAATGTATTTCTTTAATTTTGTTATTAATTGGTCTATATAATTAGCTGCTCCCATGTTAGGGGCATAGATCTTCTTGTTGGACAGACCCTTTGAGTATGATATAGTGTCCTTTCTCATCTCTTATTATAGTCTTTGGCATAAAATCTAATTGATCTGATATAAGGATTGCAACCCCAGCTTTCTTTTGATGTCCATTAGCATGGTGAATTGTTTTCCCTCCCCTCACTTTAAATCTGGAGGTGTCTTTGGGTCTAAAATGAGTTTCTTGTAGACAACATATTGATGGGTCTTGTTTTTTTATCCATTCTGATACCCTGTGTCTTTTGATTGGGGTATTTAACCCATTTACATTCAGGGTAACTATTTTAAGATATGAATTGAGTGCCATTGTATTGCCTGTATGGTAACTGTTACTGTATATTGTCTCTGTTCCTTTCTGGTCTACTACTTTTAAGCTCTCTCTGCTTAGGACCCCTTTCA